GCACAAGTTCATAGGGGCTAACAGCAATGGGCATGAAAAAACATGTGACAAAGCCAGGATAGCCCTGGGCAATGGGGTGGGGGTGGACTTAATTCTTTCCTCACCCATCACTTTACTGCAGCAACTCTCCCCGTGCAGGATTCTAATCTCAGGTTTTACTATGGCAAACATGCATCTGGAAACAGGTTATGCATAAACACCCCCTCACTATCCTTACACCCATCACAGCTCTAAAATCCACAAACATTATACCTTTAGTCTCTGAATGTCCTGCTGGACTTTATTATAAACAACGGCATGTTATGTATAGTTAGCCATGCTTTGACATGCACCTCTTTTTCCTCTTCTAAAAAGGAAATATAGTGCTGCAATGTTCAATCAAACAAGGGGCTGTCTTTGACCTGGCACCTTTAAAAATAATTTTTAGGACTTCGTTATTTTATATATTTATTTAGAAAATTTCTATGCCGCCCCATTTGCCGAAGGCTCGGGGCGGCTCACAACACAAATAAATAAATAATAACAGTATAAAATAATTCGCCCTGGCCAAAGAATAAAATAAATAAATACTATTAACAGTTCAAAATGACATTTGAATAAAAAGGTATTCGCCTGGCGCCGAAAAACAAATAACGACGGCGCCAGGCAGACCTCTCTGGGGAGCGCATTCCATAGATGGGGCGCCACCGCAGAGAAAGCCCTCCTCCGAGTACTCACCCTCTCCCCAGGAAGAAATCCCCCCTACAGGTAATGCAATGATGCAGGTAGCCTGAAAATAGTGGAGACTTTCATCAGTATCTTCTGGTTCCAAGAACTCATCTTGTTCTTGAATAATTTCATCTAGTGGTTCACATTGTTTGTGCATTTTTCATTGGTTTGCAAATATTTAAGCTAAAATCTTGTTTACCAGTTAGTCAACGGAAAAGCTATCAGTGTCCAGATGCAGATTTTATAGTGACCAGAAGCAAGGTAAGCTAGAGAGGGCATCCATTTCCAACAACTATAGCAAAGTGTACAAACTTTGCATGCTAAAATATTCTTATTTCTTTCCAGCTAATTTCCAGTAGAAACAACTTCCCTACCTATATATTATAAAGTTGAGGATAGCAGAAACACAGCACATTTAATTGTATTTTCTTAGTTTTACGCCCTTGCAATCTTCTTTAGTGTCAAAACTTGGACTGAAAGCTCCTTAAATGCAAGGAACTCTCTTTTGCGTGTGCCTTACTTAAAAAACCAGCTCCACCACTAGTGCTACAGAAGTAACAAATGGAAGGAGACGCAGACAAGGTCTACCTGGCAGTGGATGCTCTCCTTGACAGTGGCCTCATTCTTGCATACTGATTATCCTATCTACAGAGCAGCCTGCAGTTTCATTACAGATATATAGCTAGACCCCACTTTAATAGAAGTCCACAAATCGCACCATTTGGAACTATCATGATGCTCATAAGCTACCAATGAGAGAATTTCCAGTGGTTACATGGGACACAACCTCACTGTGAAGATACCTGCATTGACAGAGCCATGCCCATTAGCAGCCCATGAATCTACCCTTGTTATCTCTACAGCAGAAAACATGTAATCCTAATCCTGCACATCAATAGAAGCTTGCCACATGCAAAAGCAAAGTTTATGCCTGACCGTTGACTCCTCCAATGTTACTCTTATTAGCTTACTGCCAGGCCACTGTCTAATAACATTTCTAACAAGTCAAGTCAAGAATTAATATACTCTTTTAGAATGAATAAAATCTGTTCATTTTGTTTTCTCAATCCATTTATATAAAGTGTACTTCCAACAACTTGTTAAAAGAAAAGTCCCGTTCCTTATTAAGGTCAGAAGTTTGACTTGATAATATGCCAGCATAAGGGCTGCTTGCCAGAACCACTCTTCCGGCATTCCAACTCATGACTCTGTTACAAAAGCAGGAAAGTATCAACCAGTTACAGGCAAAAAAGGAATTCAAACTACCATCATCAGAAAGTTCCAACGGTCACACTGGGGCCAGTTTGCATTGTCACTGAAGCCCACTGTGGCTCATTGAAACCAAAGTAGGTGGCAGTCCTTGCCAGCAGCCACTCAGCCCATGCAGGAGGTTGCCCTTGTTTGTCATGTCATCCAACCTTGGAGAGCATTAGTTGTTAAACAACCCTCAAATAATCCACCATATGCTGTAGATCTGTCTAACCCCTGCTCCTTGGGTTCATACTACACAACAAGCCACAGACACTCCCTGCTGGGGGCTGAATGTTTAAAATGGTTGCTGGCACATGCTGCAACCTACCATGACTGTGGTGATCAAGTCAACCTGATCCCAAAAGAGACTTGCATGTCACCACAAAAGCCATTGTTCCCTTCTGCATAGTTTCTTGACTCTCCCTCTCACACTTGCAAAGTTGAAACCTGGGGGAAAGAAAGAGCAGTATTCTGCAACTCTCCCGAGCTGCACACATCAGTGGTGCTCAGAAGTGACCACAAGATGGGGAGTACTTCACAGATTTTCGAAGAGATAAATTCAATAAATTCTGCTAGCCACTGCACCTTTAAAACAAAACAAAGATCAGCTTCATACTCAGAGACAGAACCCAGGGTGGGACTATACAGGGAAGGCTTGACCAATTTCTCACTGGTTTCCTTTGAGTTCTTTAAGCCAATGCAAACCATTGAGAGGATTTCAGACCCAAAGCTCATTTCAAATACTGATTACCAGGGCAGATGCAATGCTAAAATGCTTTGTGAACCCTAACGTACTTGAGTCTTATGACTGAAAAAATAAGATTTTCTAAAAAAATCATAAAAGGGCAAAGCTAGTAGCCACATAAAAAAAGAAAGCCTCCCCTCACCCCAGTTCTTCGATAGTGCTGCTGAGGTTCTACAAAATGAATAATTTCTTGGAATAATGAATAGAAACAAATAGTTAATGGAATAAGGATAGGAAAATAACTGTAATGCTGGATATCCATTCTCTTCACCATTCCTGTAGCTATACATCTGAACACAGAGTGACCTGGCAGACAATCACAGGTGAGTTATTCCTGAAGTATATACTCAATGAACCACCAAGGTAGCCCTCCAAACACTGGATCTGACAGACATTTAAACTCAGAGCATTTCTGCTGAAGGCAAAAGAATTCCACCCAGCAGGGCGCTTGCCAGCGTGCAGACAGACAAAAATGGTCTCAGAGTGCAATCCTATGGGCTGCTTTCCTGTGAGAGAGAAGTTTCTGAACTTGGAGGCTTTGGAATACCCAGTGCCCTGCCATGCTGCTGCCAAAAGAACCTCTGCACCTCCCCAGAGAAGCTGGAAAGGCCATGGGTCTCTCCTCTCCCTTCTCTGCCCCTTAAACCCCACTTTAGACCTTTCCAGGGTCCACGACCAGGTGCTGTGGTTCTTTCTGCAGCGGCTGCAAAGGAGTGGGTACAGGTACTTGGAGGGGGACTCTGAAAAATTCTAGGTCCATAAAGCATTCTCCAGGGATTGCAGGATGCTCCCCAAGAGAATCACCGTGGGGTTTGAGAAAGTCGTTCTTTCAGTAGCAGAAACACACACTTTCTTTTGCCTGCTATTACCTGTAGCCAGTATTTCTATTTCAACAGAGATGTGCAACGAATGCACATGTCACAGGCAGCAGCCTTTCTTTCAAGCTACTACGAACCTTCTGGGGGGTGGGGGGGAATCAGTACATCCTGGGTGTTTGAACTTTCTCCCTTGTGGGCAATTTCGATGAAAACCCTGTTATTAGATATCGTTTGTACGTATCTTTCTCTCCTTCTTGAAAATCAATTAAAGCCAGTTAATTTTTTTAAAATCCCCTCAAGACATCTTTGTTTTATGAGCATTCAAAAGCATTAAGAATACTTCTTCATCAGGCTGGCACAACTTTTGGACCACCAGCCAGGCACCTTTTCCTCAGACTCAGGCATGGAAAGGTGGGGGGGGGGCAGTGGGGAAAGGCTGCCAATCATCTCCCTGGCTGGAACATGTGGCTGCTAAGATTCAGAGCAATGGTGCCCAGGCACTTAAAGTTACAAAATCACGTAAGACAGAAAAACAGTGGAAGGACTGGATCTAACAGATGTGATCAGGAGACAGTCTCCTTTCTCAGCCCCCTGCTCTCCAGATGTGTTTGACTACAACTCCACCATCCTCAGCCAGCATGGTCAATGGTGGGCACTGTAGTCAAACACATCTGCCAATCACCAGGATGAGGAAACTAGTATATATGTCAGTATGCAGAGGAATCTACAGGGCTCTATAAAGCAGCATTCCAGTTACTTCCATGACTACATCAGCACATGCTCCAGCAGAGAGACAAAGACAGACAAAGATGAATCCTTACAAAATGCTGCCTGCTGAACAGCAAAGGGTTAATTTTATACAAAAGATCACTCGCTGGCTGATAAACTACCACAACGAGCATGCAAATATCATGCAAACTGGTTGAAAGAAACTACCAAAATATCCCAAAGCCTCTTAGCTACTTGGAGGATATACAGACAACCATTTTCCCATCTGATGTGTGGGATACTCCATGTTACCACATAAGAGGAATATACAAGTGATAATGCTACATAACTGCACAGTCTGGCCATCTATTGGACTTATCTGCATCATTGCAATAAGGAGAATTAACCACACAGAGTAGGCACCTATTAAAAGGAGTACAATATATTGTACTCCCCAGTGGCAAGGAGAATTTGACCACAGTGCCACACCTCATGAGAGATCTGGAGAACAGGAAAGCCCAAAAATCCCTCATCACTTAGCAGGATGGCACATGGAGCCCATACAGCCGAACAAACTTATTCTGGGGTGAGCTTTCTCACCTTGCAGCCTTCAGTTTGCCAGGCTATGATCAGCCGCATTATTCCATCAAGTGGCAAATGGGAACGTGCCACACATCTGCTGCAGATGCTGCAAGTGCCACTTGGCAAACTGTCAAGATTCACCCAGCGACATACACAAAGGGCCTGAACACCGCGACTGAGTTTCTCACCTGGAAAGGTATGCGGGTGGGGCGACCCTCTTTTAAGGCACTTGGAACAGAGGACATGCACAGTATAGTACAGGCCTGGCCATTCTTGAAGCAGGACATTGAGTTCTTCTACTAGCGGGGTTATGGCTTGCCAGGCTGTCCATATATTTGGTAGGGATGCATGACTAGCAATAGATAAAGTATCGGGCTGCTGGCTGCCTTTGGCAGGCCTGTAACTTACTACTACAGGTACCTTTCCCCTGTATGCGTAGATCTGATATTTCCCATCAGATCGCTGAACCACGTGGCTGTTAATCTGGACGCTGTAGCGGGCAAACAGCCCAGGTGGAAAGATGAAGGGGAAGCTGTATTCAATCTGCAGCTGCTCAGCAACAAAGGACTGTCCACCCAGGTTGGTACCATTGATCCATGCCTCTGCGTGGGGCATCTCATTCTTCACATAGCAGGGGAACTTGTACCATGCAGTAGCCCCATTCAAGGGTTTGGATTTGGGCTTATTGACACAGTAGCAAAGGCCAATCTTTTCCAACAGCTCCAGGATAAGCTGCAGGTCTTCTCTGCTCTGGATATGGGGCCTCAGGAGCAGGCGAATAACATGGGCCGGGAGCAGTCCGTGCAGCAAGAACCCTTCCACGTAGTGGTGCAGCTGCGCGGCCTTCAGCTCGTCCGTGTGGGTATTGCTCAGCAGCTTCTGGAGTAACACTGTCGCGTCCCGCTGGCAGAAGACGTTGAGGATATCAATGAGTCTGGGCAAGTTGTGGAAAACATATTCTCGCAGGGTCAGATGCTCCTCGAAGTAGAGCAGCTTGCCACTCTCGTGCAAGTAGGAAAGGGCGCTCTGGAGACGGTCCTCAGTCAGTCCTGCCTGCAGGCCAAGCCGAGCGGAGTCCCACCAGGTGAGCCACAGCTGCTGAGCTTGTGGCTGGAAATGCAGTTCCTCCAGCACTTGCCAAGACCTGGGCAGCACCCGATGCAAATTGGGGAAGATGTCTCTGTGCTCTGCCACGGAAAGGAGCTTCTCTCGCAAACGGCGTACCTGGCAGCAATCCCAGCAGCTAATGGGCAACACTGGAGAGAGAATCTGCAGCCGATGGTTGAGCAGATACTGGAACTGCGCTTTCTTGCGCCGGAGGTTTTTGTCTGACACTCCGTAGAAGGCAACATGGGGACTGGAGCAGCGCAGATCAAAATCCTGCCCCAGGGCTTCATCCACCTGTTGGGCCAAGCTCTGCAGGCCCTCATAATCACATTTCTCCTGCCAGGCAATCTGACGGTGGATGTCTAAGCACTTCTCCTCCACCTCCCTCTCAGCACACAGGTCAGCATGGGTTCCTACCATGCACACCACGGCATGTGGCACCTTTGCCCCCAGCCAGTGAAGGAAGTGTCCCACGGAAGGATAGAAACACTGCGGCACATAAGTGCTCAGGTTCACCACCAGCACATAGAGGGCTCCAGGGGAGAGGAAGAAGGGCTGGATCACATCGTAACTTGGGTCTCCTGCCAGCTCATAGACTATGAAGGTCAGGCCCCTCTCTGCGTCCGCCGTCCAATCAGCCACCTCTATGCCTTTGCTACTGCCTAGCAGCCCTGCTGCATACGACGCAGGGGGCATAATGGGCTGGGGCAGAGGATAATAGCCTATATGCGACCCCCCATTTATTTTGGGTGAAGGGGGCCGTGAAGCTTCATCCTGACGCTCAGCAGCAAAGCATCCTACCTGAGTCTGTCCCGCAGCTTTTGGGGATGAACTGAAGATCATATCCCACTGCTCAGAGGAAATATATCCAAAATGAGAACATTTCAGGGGTGAAGCCAGCAGTGGTGAAGCCTCCGGTTGCTCAACAATGGGGCAGTGATCTGGCTGTGTTCTGGGGCACGGGGGCTGGGGCAGGTCTCTCTGGGGCTGCATGAAGCACCCCCTGGCCCGGGCTTTCCCTGAATCCTTGTTGGCTGCACTTAGGGATGAATCTCCTTGCCCTTGTTCCTCCTCCTCCTCCTCCTCCATGAGGCACTTTCGTAGCAGAGTTTTGCCTGCATTTTTCAGACCCATAAGCACGAGCTTGAGGCGGGGCTTCAGAGCGGGCTGTGAGTGGGCCAGCTCCTTCTGGTAGGCTGCAATATAAGGGATGCCCTTCATACAGACCTCATAGGGGGGCTGGATCAGCGGATTGTCTTTGATCTTCCAGAGGCTGACTCTGCTCAGCTGGCCAAACCCCTCTGGCAGGATGGCAATCTGGTTGCCCTGCAGCACCAGCTCCTCCAGCTGATGCAGCTGGACAATAGAGTCCGGCAGGTAGCGGATGCGGTTGTTGTCCAGCCACAGGGTACGGAGCTGGCAGAGCTGGCTAAGTCCAGCAGGCAGCACGGTGAGCTGGTTGCGACTCAGGTAGAGCTCCTCCAAGCCCGACAGGGCCAGCACAGCTGCGGGGAAGTCGGACAGCAGGTTGGAGGAGAGGTTCAGCATCTTGAGGCGCTGCAGGCTGCCAAAGCCAGCTGGCAGGCCTCTGAGGCGATTCCCGTCCAGCATGAGGCTCTCCAAGGCGCCCAGCTGGCACAAGCCCTCAGGCAGGGCTGCCAAGCCTGTGCCACTGAGCCACAAGATTTTCAGACGCCGCAGAGCTGAGATGCCCTCGGGCAGAGCCCGCAGGAGTCGGTTGCCGGAGCAGTCCAGCTCCTCCAGCGCGCCTAGTCCCAACAGTACCGAAGGGAAGGCAGGCAGCTGGTTGTGGTCCACATCGAGGGTGCGGAGCTGCTGCAGGCGGGCCAGGGCCTCCTCGGGCAGGTGGCAGAGGCGGTTGAAGCTCAAGTCCAGCTCCTCCAGCTGCCGCAGCTCGCCCAGGCCGGCGGGCAGCGCGCCGTCGCCGCTGGCCCCCAGCTGGTTGTGGCTGAAGCTGAGCTTCCGCAGCCCGCGCAGCAGCGCCAGCGCCTGGCCGTCGTCGCGCAGGCAGCGCAGGCGGTTGTGGCTGAGGTCGAGCTCGGCCAAGCGGCCCAGGTGCCGAAGGGCGGCGGCCGAGGGCAGCTGCGTGAGCCGGTTCCTGCGCATCGAGAGGACGCTCAGGCTGCTGCCCACGGCGGCGCACAGCCCCTCGGGCAGCTCCTCCAGGCCGCGCCCGCTCAGGTTCAGCGTCTCCAGCGGCGAGGGCGAGGGCGGCGGCGGCGGCGGCGGCGGCGAGGACTTCAGCTCCGGCTCTGCCTCGGGGCCGCTCTCCTCCCGGGCGGAGCCCAGCTCGAGTTCCAGCTGCTGGAGGTCGCTGCGCAGCTTCCTGGCGCGCAGGGCGGCGTCTCGCCAGAGCCGGGCCGCCTCCTCGGGACGCTCCGTCTCGGCCATGGCTCCGTCGCAGCGGTCCTAGGAGGCGCGGAGCCGAGAGTCAAAGCGGGCCCGGACACCGCCGCGCCCGGGCGCCCGTCAACCAGCCGGGCCGCGCCGCTCAAACCCAGCGGGGGACTTCGCCGCCACGCTCGCCATGGAGCAGGCGTCCTCCGGCGCTAGGCAAGGCTGGGGACACGCACGGCAGCGTGGCGATCCCGTCTCCGGCGCCTTCGCCGCCGCCGCGCCCGGCGGAGCATCCTTTCTCCTGGGCGGCCGCTCCCAACCAGGCGGCGCCGGTGGATTCCCGAACGGGCACTGAGGAGGAGGAGAAAGAGGAGGAGGTGCCGGCTGCGGCGGTAACAGCGGCAGCAGCGCCGCCCCTCGGCACGCAACCGCGCGCCTGGCCGGAGCCGCCCTTGAAGGAAAAAGGGCGCGCCAGCCGGAGCTGGGAGCGCCGCTCTCCCCCTGCCTCGCTTCCCCGCTGCCGCAGGGCCCCTCGCATCTCCCGCCCGGCCGGCGGCGCGCTCGGCCGGTTTAAACCGGGCTCCTCATTCCCGTCCGCCGGCTGCTGAGCTCTGAGCCGAACGCGTGTCTGCCTTGAAAAGCGTCGCGTCGGGAGGGCCTTTCACACCCATGATGCAAAGCTGCGTTCACCAGTCGAGGTTAAGCACGTTCAAATCTTCGCGTGAGAGGAAGGAAATCCGTGTGCCAGTGAATGGGTCAATCCAGGGGATTGTTATTCTTTAGTCGCAAAGTCGTGCCCGACCCATCACGACCCCGTGGACAACATTCCTCCAGGCTCTCCTGTTCTCATCCTCGGAGTCCGCACACACCCACTGCCCCAGTGATCTCATCCAGCCATCTCATCCTCTGCCATCTCCTTCTCCTTTTGCCTTCAATCCTTCCCAGCATCAGGATCTTCTCCAGTGAGTCCTTCCTTCTCATTAGGTGGCCAAACTATTTGAGTTTCATCTTCAGGATCAGGCCTTCTAAAGAGCAGTCAGGGTTGATCTCCTCTAGGATTGAGCAGTTTGATCTCCTTGCAGTCCAAGGGACTCACAGGAGTCTCCTCCAGCACCTCAATCCAAAGGCATCAATTCTTTAGTGCTCAGCCTTCTTTATGGTCCAGCTTTCACAGCCATATATTGCAACTGGGAGAACCATAGCTTTGACTATACGAATTCTTGTCGCCAGAGTGATGTCTTTTCATTTGAATTAAATTCACCCATTCCTGTCCATTTTGGTTCACTAATCCATGGGATAAAATTCTAATAAACAATCCCCACAGAATTGGGGCAAAACAAACGCACTGGTTATTCCACCCTGCCGCCTTGACCCACGCCCAGGTTCAAGTTCCCTGAATGAAGAGGCTGTCCCCATTTCGGTATACAAAGATGCGTGTCAGGGGAAGGGAAGGATGGTGAGGCATTCCCTGATGACAGAGAGTAAAAAGTTTCACAGGTGTATGTGCGCATCCGCTTGCCATTTTCTATCCCACTCTAGGAGCCCTGGGTGGTGTACATTTTTAAGCCAGTGCCCAACAAGCCTGTGAGGCAGCTGAGGCTGACCAGTGGTGGCTGCCCGAGGTCAGTTAGTAAGCTTTGTGGTTCAGTGGGGATCTCCCTGGTTTTAGGATAGCATGGCTACATCGCAATGGCTGTCCTACCTCTTGGCTATGATATCATAAGTGGATGAGTCAGGCCAGCAGCCAAAACAACTTTTGAGGCATCTCAGATTATTTCCTTTTGCACTTTCAGCTGCGAGATCATGAAGAGGTGACCAGTGCAAGTCCAACATCCTTGCTTGCAAGACATATGGCTTTAATCCAGAAATAGTGCCATGGAACCCATTTTTGACAACCTGTTTGAGGGAATTCCCCAGCCATAATACTTTTAAAGGATAAACACCCTAAAACTTCAAAATACGTTCAAAAAGCCAAGCCTTCATTTGAACATTGACTTCAGCCCTCCGTTGAAATGGCTGTCCATTCCAAACCTATCCTAAAGATAAAGACTCCTAAGAAGGGAGAGCACCTGCACCAAAGTTTCCATCACCTTGTAGCCCCTGAACAGAGGATGGAACAAACACTCCAATCACCTTTTCAGTCTTTCCCCATGTGCACTGTATGTCTGTGGAGCTTATGCCTTCTAATTATTTCTCAATTTGCTAGATTTGCAAATGCACATAGATGAACACATTCAAATCTGGGTCTTCCTTTTTGCTGATATGCAATAGCTTGCCAGGAGTGGGCATGCAGGGGAGGAGATGGTCCTTTAGATATCCTGGTCCAAGCCATTTGGGCTTACAGTGATGGCACCCAGCACCTTTCTTTCCACCCAGAAACAAGCTGACAGGCAGGCCAGTTGGTAGAAAGGAGGAGTGGCTATGGCCAAGAGCCTTGCCACTGCAATTTGAACCAGCTGAAGTTTCAGAGTGCTTTCTGCAGACAGGCACGTACAGAGTGAGCAACCGTAAATCAGGTTGTGATCTAAATAACAAAATTGACTGTGGCCAGATCTGCTTCCTCCAGAAATGAGCCCGGCTGGCACACCAGCTTAAACTTAAGTTGGGCAAAGATCCCTGGTCACAACATCAGGGTTAGGGGCAGCCCACAATGGCTGGAGTCCCAAATCTTTCACTGGAAGTCCCAAATCTCTGGGATGATATCATCCCCACCAGCCTGCCCTCTAAGGGCAGTTGTTACAGTAAAGGTACAGAGGCCCTAACGATCTCCAATGCATCAAATTCCCTGGATTAGTTTGCTTTTTGCCCACATGTGCTTCATCTCCTGCTGCCCCACTGAATCTTTCTGCTGGATTCCCCCCTGAAATCAAAATCCTCCCACCCCACAGTTCGTATAACCCTTTCTACAAATAGGGGTGTCCTTAGAAAACAGGGTCCTTGAAAGACACACGTGCAGATACACAGACATTAACTTTAAAGTGTACATGAATAAGCATATGAAAATGTCTGCATTATTTTTGGCCTGCGAGCCTGAGCCTTGGATCTTTTTGGTACTTAGCACCACTCTGTCCAGCCACAACTGCCACCTGTGCATTCAAAAGAAAATTTTCAATCGAAACTGTTCATCTTATTTTCTGGGAACCAGATTAAAAGAGGCCAATTCCATATTGCTGCTGCTGCCGAACAAGATCACATTACCGCAGTCCAGATTAACTTTCACATACCATATGGGCATGCAGTTAGGAAGATCAGAAAACGTCTTTGACCAGGTCTGTGATCCTGTTCAGCATCATCTATTGACTAGCAGCTAGCAGTGGCTCTCCAAAGGTTCAAACAGGGATCTTTCCTAGCCCAGCCTGCAGATGCTGGTCAGAGCTGGCGTCAAGGGTAGGCATGGTTGGGCACCTGCCAAGGGATGAGGAGCCACCTGGAATTGCTCTTTGCCATTGCAGCTTCTTGTCCTTTCCTGGACTGCAGTGGAAGAGGCGGCGGCGAAAGAGGAACACCAGGTGCTGCAGCCTTCTTGCTCCCTGGCTCTTGGCCTGTCAAGCGTGCAAGTGGCAGCGATCATGAGGATGAAGAGGAGCTGGTGCTGATGGTGGCCCAAAGGTGGACTCACTGAGCGGAGGCCCTAAAAAACAATCTGGAGCTGGCTCCAGCACCAGGGCTTGAATCTGGGACCCTCTCTATGCCAAGCATGTGACCTGCCAATCAGCTATAATCCTTCCCTTGGAATTGGATAATGACAAGCATGTCCTCGACTAAAGCAGGCTCTCCCCACACTTCCCCTTCACGTTCTTATTTTGGTCAAGCAAATGATATACCCAGAGATGCTACATGTGCTTGAGTGGCTGGAGAGACAGATTTAGAAGTGTTGAAAAAGGAGAATGTCTTGCAACCGAAGGACTAAGCAGAATTAGAAGCAGTGGCTAGAAACGGGTTCCTATATGGGCAATCTTCTCGCTTTGCTTTTGCTTTCAGTTATTACCACAGTTCAGGTTATGCTGACTAGGAAAAGGTTTTAAGGTCAAGAGATGGTGAACTGAATGTGTTGGGAAGATGACCCAATGAAAAAAAGAAGACTGTGCTATGTATGTGTGCATCTTTTCTGTCCTCTGGATGGCACAGTACACCACCAGCAAAAATGGTTCACTCCTGTCCAAGAGAACCATCCTTTGCATCTTGTCACCTGATGCTCTGGTTTCATGAGTGAATGCTAGTGTTTATAATAGATGGGCCTTCTATAGACCAGCCTTCTACTGTAGCCATCATTCTGGTAGAACTATTCTGGAATAAGTGACTTCAAAATTTTTACTGCATTGACGTTAGCCGAGCAGCTACAGCAAAGTCCAAATTGCTGTGATTGGGAATATTTAGGAATGTGCTTTACTATGGACTTCAGATTTGTCCTGATCATCAGAAGCCCAAAGTTGCTTTACTCAGAAGTGGATCCCATTGATTTGCTCCCTGGACTTGTGCTTTGGGAGGGGCTTTAGGGTAAGTTATATGCAGTCAATCTCAAGTTTAAACCTTGGCAGCTGGGAAGGACCCCTCTGAACTCTGGAGAGCCCCTGGCTGCCAGTGTGTAGACCGGAAGTGGGCAAATTCTGGCCTTCCCAATGTTTAGACCTATAACTCCCATCAGCTCCAGTCAGTGTAGCCAGCAATGATAGATGATGGGAGTTGTAGGCAAAGCCTCTGGAGGGCCACAGGTGGCCTGTCCCTGCTGTAATCAGCACTGAGCTACATGGCCCAAGAATCAGACTCAGAATTCGCATAACAGGGATGGGAAATGTGTGACTCTTCAGATGTTGGACTACAACTCCCATAAACCCCAGCCAGCATAGCTAATGGAGAGAGACGATTTGAATCACAGTCCAACAATATCTTGGCAATTGCAGATCCTCCCCTTTCCAATATGTTCATATGCTTGGGAGCCCAAGGCATAGTTTTGTGACACCTTCTCCCATATAAGCATATCTGGATTGCAGCCTTAGGCCTAAAAAACAGGAATAAGAACAGTAGCACAATTTCATTGCTCAGACTAGAGACAG